AATATCCACCAGTTACCAACACTGACATCTTTCAAATCGGTTTTTAAAATATGCAGCCCACTCATTACAAGTATGAATTCATAACATTACGTGCTTGCGAGTCTGGACCAGATAACCCAGTGATCGATATCATGAGCATCAATCTACGCAATTGGGATACGATGATATGTGTCTATCTGACAACGCGATCCCGTTTGTCGCCCCTTACGGCAAACATGGATTGCTGAAGACCAGTTCTAACCCGTATGTTACGACGTCAGTGTTTTATTACAATTTACGTTTTTATTACAATTTACGTCGTAACAACGGGTCTTCAAGAGTGAACAAAATATGAAAATGACACTTCATGCAAAGATCGTATCTAGGTAATTAGCATAACATTGCCAACTTGTCTTCTGTTTTCGTATTTTCTTGGCGCACATACAAAGCACACGTAAATTTATTTCAAAAGGATATACCACTCACTTCTCTGGTACACTTTGTTTATTTAAGGCATGCCTTGACAACGTCACCGTTATGGATTTCGAATACAGTACTTCAGTTTTCAATAGACTTTTGTCCCAGGTGATGTAAATGTTCTATTATAAACTCTGTCAAAAAGAAACGCAACCCTGTCCTCAGATATGAAAATTCGTTTGAATGAAGTTATTGCTTCAAACTAAATTTTATTCGAGAATGTATTGAAGTTATTACGTAATTAATGAAGATTACCATCAAACAGCTGCATTTGTACGCATAAGTGTATTTTTATTGCTTATTCCGTCACAACGCATGAAATGACCCTCATGGTGACTTCGCACAAAAACACATGCAAATCATGAAAATGGCAGTTAATGTGGGGGTGTATATAAAAGCCCATGTGCTTCCGTATTATATTCATTCATTTGTCGCCGAAAAGCTATGTTAAAAATGCCACGATTAGTGCTGCCGACCGAAATATCGCCATTGGTCGTGTTCAAGCCGGAGAAAGTTTTTGGAACTGTTGCACGGCACCTAAATGTTCACAAAACAACGATATCCCGACTTTGGAGCCGCTACAACAACTTCAATTTGACCAACGATCGCCCGGAGAAGTGGAAGGCCAGAATCACGACCCCCTTCAAGATCGGTACATCCGGGTCCATCACCTGCGTAATCGGCATGCCCTACCAACCGTGACTGCGCCGCCAACAAATACCAGGTTTGAGGAGAGTGTCAGCTCAAACGATTGGAACCGTCTGAAAGAAGCGGGTTTACGTGCCTGTAGACCAGTTGTTGGACCTGTACTACGCCCCTACATCGACGCCGAGGACTCAGGTGGTGCAACAACGTAAGGATACGGACTTTACAAAACTGGAGGCGAATCTGGTTTTCTGATGAATCACGTTTTCTTTTTGCAACGTCACGACGGAAGACAGCGTCTGTATAGGAGACGTCATAAACGTTTTGCGCCATCTGCGTCCGACAGGTGGACAGATTTGGCGGAGAAAAGCGTCATGGTTTGGGAACCATCTCCATACAAATCGTGAAATCAGACTTGGTGATCGTTCAGGGAACCTGACAGCCCAACGTTACATCAACCACGTGTTAGAGCTTCACCTTCTCCCGATTATTGACCAACAGACACAGATTTTTCAACGGGACAACGCCCGGCCTCATACTGCACGTGCAACAATGAACTTTCTGCAGAATTCCAACGTCAATGTCTTGCCATGACCCTCTAAATCACCAGACCTCAACCCTATTGAACACCTGTATGTACCCAGGATACTCTGGATCGACGCGTACGTCAACGTCAGTAGATAGCTATGACGCAGTACATTCAATTGAGTTCAATTCTTTATTCAGTTAGTGTTGACCATCGGTCCCAAACTACATACATGTATGGACAGGCATAGACAGGTGTTAAAATTCAAGTTAGTGACATTAGTACTGACTGACTGACTGACTGAGTTTGGTTTTACGCCGCTTTTAGCAATATTCCAGCAACATCACGGCGGAGGGACACCAGAAATGAGCTTCACACATTGTACCCATGTGGGGATTCGAACCCGGATCTTCGGCGTGACGAGCCAACGCTTTAACCACAAGGCTACCCCCACCGCCTCCGTGACATTAGTAACTGACATTGCATGATAAATACACATTGCAGAGTTCGTAATTAGGGTACAACCGTTGGTTGACATAGGATAATAAAACTTAGATTTATAAGTATATAGGCAATATTTTGTGGGTATATAATTTTCACTGGCTATGAGAAGGGCATATTAAAGGAAAGTGGTACTCCTCTGCCAAATATGCCATTTGTGGCATGCACAACACAGTCTTTATTTCTTTCAGCATTGCTATACCTTCCAGTTTCAATACTTAAAGGATGTGAGATGCGTCACAATTAGGGCTGCGCAATATAACCGGTTTACCGGTATTTACCGGTTCAGACATGAAAACGATACGTATTGCGATACGCTGATCGAAAACCGGTATTTTGACTTGCATTCGGAAAACTTCGTAACACTCGGAAATGTTCGGATATGTCCTTGTTTCATTTGTGCCAAACGTTATTCACATTTCTATTTTATCATGATTAAAAGTCGTTATTAAAGCTTAATCAAGCCTAGTGATTTTGTTGTGGTTTTGCTCTATATATCAAGAAATAACTCGATTATAAGTAGTTTTTTGTTTGAAAATACTTCATGCAATATATTGTAATACATATCGCAATACATGCTTTCGCATCGCAATATATCGCAATATGAAAATTCTCTGCAATACCCACCCCTAGTCAAAATTGGGGGAGAGCAACCCTAAATATGTTTATAGTTCCATAATAAAGATATAGCTCTGTACCAAAAGAGACTTTGAAAAATGAAGTACGCTGTATAGATGATCGTTGTGTTGCCCCAAATACCAGGAATTGAAGAGGCTCTGACGTGGGAACCTATATACATGTATAATGTGCTTTAACAAATTGTCCCCACATAGGTACAATGTGTGAAGTACATTTCTGGTGTTCCCCGCCGTGATATTGCTGGAATATTGCTGAAAGCGGCGTAAAATTAAACTCACTCACTCACTTTAACAAATTGTGGTCTTACCTTTATCCAACAAACCATTTTAAAATATGAAGGGCTGTGATGGAGATAACTGATCACCCTTGGCGCTGTTGAGGAATTCAGAACCCCGAAAATAGACATGATGCATGGTCAAAGTTTAACCATGATGACGTTAACTGATAATAAACATCCAGGTGTCACGTTTTCGTAAGGAGACGGGAATTTCAGCGTTATGGTTTGGCTGGATTGACGAGTCTAATTGACATCCTTCAGACCGACAGATACAGTACAACCAGAAATTATTGAGAATTTAAAGATTGTAATTTTCTTTCTTTTTTGCACTCATTACTCAGGTATTAAATGTGAATATTAGCAGAACATAACTCCAGATTCAAAGACAGGTGAACAGTTAGTTTTTTGTCAAGTCATCATCGGCAGCAATGCAGGCTTCAATGCGGCGGGGCATACTACTGATCAAAGAAGTTAGAAAGTCGTGTCCATGCTGTCCCAATATCGGACCACCTCTTCTTTCATTTCAGCAATATTTGTCAGATTTTTCTTATTGACACTTTCCTTCATAAGTCCCCAAACATTTTCTATTGGGATTTAGGTCAGGGCTATAGCTTGGCCTATTTAATAATGTCATATTTTGGGTCCGATACCAGGCCTGTGAATGCTTTGAACGATGTTTTGGGTCGTTGTCCTGCTGGAAAATACAAAAATTTCCATAGAACACGTGAGCAGATGGAAGTAAATGTCCCTCGAGAATATCTGTGTACCGCTCACTGTTCATATTCCCTTCATTAACACAGAGGGGCGTTGCCCCTAACACAGATATGCCACCTCACACGTTAAATTTCGGACTGTACTTTGGGCGCTGAAACAAAGGTTTTTCGGTTTGTTTGGTCCAGAATTTCAGTGTATAAGGAAACAGCCACACAGAACTTTCATCTGAGAAAATCACATTGTCCCACTTAAAAGTTCTATGCTGTAAGCACCAGTTCAACCTTTGCTCCTTTTGTACAGGTTTCATGATCGGTGATGGAATTCCTCGACTTTTCTGCCAACCCATTGCATGCAGCTCAGTTCTAATTGTCTCCTTACAGACAGCCACAGTTCCTCTATCAATCATATCCAGCCTTAAGTTTTCTAAACTCCTTCGTTTGTTTTTAGAAACAAGAATACCAAGCCGCCTCCTGTCACCGACAGTCAATTTTCTGGGCCTACCTGCGCCTCCCTGGTGCTCAATGCCATATCCATTTTTCAAAACACGATAAACAGTGGACAAAAGGGATGCCTGTTCTACTTGAAATCACTTTAGCTGATCTGATGTCCTTGTTATAATACTCTAAAATCAACTTCCTCTTCTCTAAATCATCCATACTGAGGATCACTGAAAATGTCGTCTGCTAGCAAGTAAACAAAGGGGGATAACTCTTCACAAACTAATAAAAAAGGATTAACGGAGTTGTCTCTCTTGAATGAAACCAAGCACTAATTTTTTTTAATTGATAGCTGGTCAAGGTTGTTTATACTAGAAATCCAATTAAACATATTCCTAAAATTCTCAATAATTTCTGGTCATACTATAGTTAAGGAAAGCCTCCCTCTATTCATAATCAGGTTGCTCAAGAACTGTGATGTACTTCGCGAGGTACGACCCATTTTATCACAAAACAGATCTTGATTTTCGATGATTTCGTCTTCTTCCGCGCCGCCATTTTGTGTGACGAAATGCAAGTAATAACACTAGTTGAACCTGGCCGATAGGAGTATCCCGTTATCGCCACAGATGTCGCTCAGATCGAAACACGAAATGTGTTCGAAAAGGGAGGAAACCGAACTCTCTTTTATTGGGAAGATGCCCGAATTCCCACACCCACCTGCATATAACTAGACATGCACTTTATGTCAATACATTTCTTTTTACCTGTGTTTGTAAAAGGAGGAGGCTTTATTCAAACAGTTCTATATATTTCAGCATGGATACTAACCAGATATATCCGGGTGTGATTTGCACACCCGTAGACGTCGTCATCTCACAAGGAGCCTCCCGACATGGGGAGCAGCGCAGTTTATTTCTGCTTCATTTCAGGTATGATCTTCTAAATTATGAAATCTCAAAGTATTCGGGCGGTGCTGTAGCCTAGTGGTTAAAGCGTTCGCCTCGTCACGCCGAACCCCGGGTTCGATTCCCAATATGGGTACAATGTGTGAAACCCATTTCAGGTGTCCAACGCCGTGATATTGCTGAAATATTGCAAAAAGCGGCGTAAAACCATACTCACTCACTGACTCACTCACTAAAAGCGGCGTAAAATTAAAGTCACTCACTCACTCAAAGTATTAATTTTAACGTGTATTATTCGATCAGATCAATTTGTAGTTGTGGATGGACTGATTCATCAGTCCAAATGGGAAATTTTCAGTTCATATGTGTTAAAACTAAGAATGGTTGCGGTTCCTGGAAGCTCTATCTTTCCTGCAATAATGCCTTTATGTGTTAAGATTACATACCAATGCAGCGTAAATAATAATGTTGAAGTGTGCCGTTGAAATGTGTCAAATGTATGAGGAATGTTCTTGTGTAGTTCGGGGGTCAGTTTATGTTCAATAAAACATCCAAAATTGTACTAACAGCTGTTCTCAGCAAGGCTTTCCTGCAGGAAAAAGGTCGAAAAGGGCTATAGTGCCACTCTGCAGCTGATATATCGCTGTTGTAATATTTTGAGTGTTCGGGAAACACCCCACAAGAGTGTCATCGGCTCAGACCAGATAATCCGTTTTGTCTGTGGAATACAGATCGGAATTTCATGTGTACAATATTCTAAACTTAAGGGTTTAACGATCGGACCAGTTGTTACGTCTCTTGACGGAACTCTTGTATAAGACAAATCGTTATGGAGATCAAGTTCTTTATTGTATACACAACGTTTCAGGGCTATTCCTTGCCCCTTCGTCAGGTGAATGCTAACTGATTGATATACAGGACATATATACTAGTAATGTACATGAAGCAAGACTTACTTCTCTGGAATTTTAGTTTCTTACTTTCTCAACTTCTGGGGCGGTGGGGTAGCCTAATGGTTAAAGCGTTGGCTCGTCACGCCGAAGACCCGGGTTCGAATCCCCACATGGGCACAATGTGTGAAGCCCATTTCTGGTGTCCCCCGCCGTGATGTTGCTGGAATATTGCTAAAAGCGGCGTAAAACCAAACTCAGTCAGTCAGTCTCCACTTCTGCCTTACAAAGACAAATCAGTGTAATAAATCATCATACAGCCCAGCCTTCCTTTGACTGAACAAGCCCCGTCTTGTAAAAGGTCAATTGTCAGATTGTTAAAGGTGACTTCGACAGTTACCTGCAGCTGCTGGCTGGCTGAGTATGGTTTTACGCCGTTTTTAGCAATATTCCAGCAATATCACGGCGGAGGACACCAGAAATGGGCTTCACAAGTTGTACCCATGTGGGGAATCGAACCCGGGCCTTCGGCGTGACGAGCGAACGCTTTAACCACTAGGCTACCCCACCGCCCCCAATTACCTGCGGTTTGGGTGACCCTTGTGAGGCGAGGCGAGGCGAGGGAGGGGAGGGGAGTCTAGGCTTCTATGGATTCCACCAAACATTACCGCCAACATTACCTCGCCGTGAAGGGGTAGCCTAGTGGTTAAAGCGTTCGCTCGTCACGTCGAAGACCCGGGTTCGATCCCCGCGTGGGTACATTGTGTGAAGCCCATTTCCGGTGTTCCCCGCCGTGATATTGCTGGAATGTTGCTAAAAGCGGCGTAAAACCATACTCACTCACCACGCCGTGGTGAAACTGGAATGCTGTTGAAGGCTGGGCTGTAACCAAGCTCCCTCACATGTATTTATTTCGAGTAAGCATGATGTTGATTTGGTTTGTGCTTTTCCAAATGTACCATTTGAATACACGTGTATTTCCAGCTCTGGTGCTCAATGCATAAGAATGCACAGACAGAATGTGACGTAAACAGACTGATCAGATGTGGTCGAACCTTCTTAGACATAAGAGATACCGACATACAGGAACTATGCAGGTACGTCGTCTATATGTCTTACAGTCTTGCTTTGTTGTGTATTGTTTCATCTGTGTGATCGCAGACACTTGGAGTTAGTACATCACTTGGAGATAGGTACGGTTTAACATCGCAGGTCGGATAGTCAAGTAGTACCCGTGAAGATCCGGGTTAGAATTGATCTTCAGCAACCATGCTTGTCGTAATAGACTACTTACGGGACAGGGTGGTCAGGCTCGCTGACTTGGTTGACACATGTCATCGTATCCCAGTTGCGCAGATCGATGTTCATTCTGTTGATGACTGGATTGTCTGGTCCAGACTCGATTATTTACAGACCGCCGCCATATAGCTGGAATATTGCTGAGTGCGGCGTTTAACAACACCCACACAACCAAGGATAGTCTGGTGGTTAAAAGGGCCGGTCGTTCAGATTACTGCGTGACCCTTAAGCTGGAAGAACGTGATAACGCCAAAGTTGCTATACCTGATGTGACCATGCAAGCTCGACATGAAATCATCCTCACTTACATAAACGATTTTAAGGAACCTCAAAAAGCCATCGAGTGAGTGAGTGAGTTAATATTTATAGTCACACTGGCAATATTTCACCCATTTCGTGACTTTTAAAGTTAAAATTCATAATAAACGCAATTAAATTATAAAAAAAACCATGTGGACAAGATTATCACAGATATAAATCCAAAACTAAAGAAATTAAATCTAAAACAGTTCAACTAAAGAAGACAATACAATATAAAACAGGCTGCAGATCGCCACCAACTGAAGGTAGATCACCATACTAGGGACCATGGGGACTTACAGTACCTTTGCTACCTACCTGGACACGTAGCCATCGAAAGCCCTTATAAGTTCAATGATGTGTTTGTTTAATATCTGTCCCTGTCCTGGCAACATGAGAGCGACCAAACCATCTCCACAATTGTTACACGGTTTTTTGATAGATTGAGCCCCATCCGGGATTCGAACCCGCACCAAACCTCCAAATCCGCAACTAGAAATTATGGAGCAATAGGGTCCCTACTACTCGCTACGAGTTAGACATATAGTTAAATGGGGATTGGATGTAACATATCGGCACGTATGTCACCGTTCCCCTGGGGATCATGTTCAGCCTTGAGTTGTTCATGCTATCAACCACTGGATTTTATGTTCACGATTCCAGATACGAGAAGTTCCAGTTTAATTGGATACACGATGAAACATTTTAAAAACGCTCATGTTATTTCATTTTAATCACTTCACACTTCAGGAGATTTGTACGTGAGCTGATTGGCAATTTCGCCGCTTTGAGCATTACCACAGTTATAGACTAACAACTAGTCTCTGAAATGAACATATTTTACTGAAAAAAGTTCATAGCAAAAAAATATAATGAAAAGGAGCCCTGAGACTTGCCACTTTTTCTAGACTTGTGTGGGCTTTCTTTGATAGATTTGCTTCAGGGTCTGTACGACAGACTAACACAGTTACTGCACGGTGTGTTTGCGTAATGTGGGAGGGAATCCCGAAACGATGTAGCTCTTAGACTTTACTGATTTGGTGATGTCAACGAGTTCGGGTATTGTGTTGACAAACATAGAAACATTACAGAAACAGGACTCGAGTCCAAGACCATAGGTTGCTGATGTGCCAAAGATATGCAACTCTGCACAGCCATCATGTCCCTCGTTATTTGTAAGCGAGTAAATTTGCATTGGATAGTTTTTGACCTTCATCCTGGAAGGCCAATTTAACTTGTTAAGAAGTTATACAGGTGACAAACGTTAATGTTTTAGCTAATCACGCCCACCACTACGGACATAATGCATACACATCAGTAATCATAATACTGACTGAGTTTAGTTTTACGCCGCCTTTAGCAACATTCCAGCAACATCACGGCGGGGGGACACCAGAAATGGGCTTCACAGATTGTACCGGGGACCCAGAAATGGGATTCGATTGTACCCGGGTCTTCGGCGTGACGAGCCAACGCTTTGACCACTAGGCTACCCCACCGCCTCAGTTATCATAATAAGGACTTTGGATGTAAAAGAAGGATTTCAAACACATTCCAAACTTCATATTGCTTAATTTATCCATTATCATTGACGATGTGACTGATTGTTGTTTGTCTATCACTCTTGAGAACCCGTGAAGATCCGGGTTAGAATATTGATCTTCAGTAACCCATGCTTGTCGCAAGAGGTGACTAACGGCATCGGGTGGTAAGACTTGGTTGACACATGTCATCGGTTCCCAATTGCGCAGATCGATGCTCCTGCTGTTGATCACTGGATTGCCTGGTCCAGACTCGATTATTTACAGGCCGCCGCCATATATCTGGTATACTGAAATATTATGTTTTGTGTCATCCACTGTTTTGTTGACACTGCCGATGTAAAAGTTTAAGTAAATCGACACACCCTTATACCCTTGACGGGCAAAACTGAGAAACACGTAACGGTTGTTCACGACCCAACATGTCGTGTTTTCCCGTCATCATGTTGCAAAACGTGCGTAACGGTTGAGCAAAATCAGTTGCAAAACGTGCGAGCAAAATCAGTTAAGTAATTGCAGTAGTGTAATTTTCAACAACTTGCACAACGACACCTATAACGAGCAGGCTAACTTAACGCAAAGATAACTCAGATGATAAAACTAGATCGACTAAAAATAACTCCGATATATTCTTCTATCCAATGTTTGAAAACATGTACACGAACGTGTTTTTGAAGTTAGTGAGCGCGTCCGTTACTGTCGTCAAACGAATAAGAAGCACCTAGACTTTGTTGGTTATGGCAATAGCCGGAGTGGGTAGGGCCAGGGTTGTAACGATGTACAGAATAGCATTGCACAGAGGGGTAACTGCGCACCTAGTTCTAAGTGTGTAAACAACATTGTTATGTTATTTCCCACACAACAGGAAAATGATCTTGAATGTTTATGCTGTGCACACATTCACGTGCAAATATTTACACAGGACCTACATGAAGTACAAGGAGTGTGTGTTCGGTGTTGTGGGATGTAACGGCGCAGAAACCGTCGCTCAGGTCGAGACACAGTTGGCACGGACCGGAACCGACATAAAGAAACTGTGTAAGGAACTGTATATGTATGTATATTTATGACGTCATGGTGCTAATTGATGACGTCATTTGATAATTGTGTGGCTTAGCTCAGATGCTGATTGATTGATTGTTGTTTTACGCCGCACTCAGCAATTCCAGCTATATTGCGGCGGTCTGTAAATAATCAAGTCAGGACCAGTCAGTCCAGTGATATACAGCATTAGCATCGACCTACGCAATTGGGAACCGATGACATGTGTCAACCAAGTCAGCGAGTCTGACCACCCGATCCCGTTAGTCGCCTCTTAAGACAAGACTAGTATGGATTACTGAAGATTCTAACCCGTATCTACACGGGGGTGCTCAGACGCAGATATGTTTTAAGGAGTTGTGAGGAATACGTTGTATGCTTACTGTGACTGCTGTCAGGTTCCACTGACACATAACACACACCCCCACCCCCACCCCCATAAATATTATCTCTTAACAGGTACATATTATCTTAACCGTTTTCATTTGGATCCTTCAGTGAAATGAATCTTTCAACTTCTCTCATACGACAATTAGTTGTATTTAGATTTTACGACACGCCTATTGAAGATCCCATCATGTGAACTCTGCGTTAAACTTTCAAAAAATAAGTGAGACCTTGTTAATATGAGGTCTCAATTTTCTTGTCACCTCGATTGGAAATTTCGATCATAACCAAAGAACACACTCAACCCCAAAAGTACTAGAATCCGTACTTTACTAAGAAAGTGTAATCCCAAATATAACATATGTTACATTTGGCCACTTTCTAAATGGCATTGTGTATTCCAAAGTACACATCATTCTGCAGGTCAGACACGACACTTGTATAAGCTGGCCACAAGCCTGGCCGCCTTTGTGTTCATTCGGAAAAAGTCGTTATACTTCGTTTTCGAGATTCTGAAATCAGGTTTGCTCGTTTGAGCAAGTTCTTGAAATGTAGTGAGATTTCGCTGTAGTGAGATGTTATTCAATTCAAGCAAGTATTATTTCCATAACAAGCTTTCTGTCAAAAGCAGAGTCATTGTTTCAGTGTGCAAGAATGATATCAGGTGAATCGTGCATCTTGTTCACTGACCTGCTTCTTTGTATTTATTTCAGGCTCTGCCAGTGTGACGTCAACAAAAGGTATAAATCAAATTACATCGAGTTACTCTGTACCATACATAAAGTGAGTGAGTGAGTTTAGTTTTAGCAATATTCCAGCAACATCACGTCGGGGGACACCAGAAATGGACATCACACATTGTATTCATGTTGTGAATCGAACCAGGGTTTTTGCTGTGACGAGCGAACGCTTTAACCATTAGGCTACTCCACCACCCCACCCATTTGGGGAAACGAACCAGGGTTTTCGTTGTGACGAGCAAACACTTGAACCACTAGGCTACCCCATCAACGCCCGTACATACCTCTTCATGTCCATAACACATTATAACATAACTAATAATAATCAATACACGAGCATGATCTCTTTTTATATATCTTTATGATGCCATTTTAGTTTTGGAACTGACCGTAATATAAAATATGGAATTATTGTTTTCTTTTTCTACTTTGTTTTTTATTTTGTTTCAGTTCCTGAAGACGGCACACGATTTCCGGGTGAATGCAACGTCTTCAGCATCTACTCCTGTCTCGACGTCTTCATTGATGACGTTCAGAATGCTGGGAATGATTCCGAGATAATATGTTCGTAAGTAACATGGAACGTTTGATATTTGTTAAGTCTTAGAAGTCGATTTCCTCAACCAGTCTTTTACACGTGCAAATATTTACACAGGACCTACATGAAGTACAAGGAGTGTGTGTTCGGTGTTGTGGGATGTAACGGCGCAGAAAACGTCCTTCAGCTCGAGACACAGTTGGCACGGACCGGAACCGACATAAAGAAACTGTGTAAGGAACTGTATATGTATGTATATTTATGACGTCATGGTGATAATTGATGACGTCATTTGATAATTGTGTGGCTTAGCTCAGATGCTGATTGATTGATTGTTGTTTTACGCCGCACTCAGCAATTCCAGCTATATTGCGGCGGTCTGTAAATAATCAAGTCTGGACCAGTCAGTCTAGTGATATACAGCATTAGCATCGACCTACGCAATTGGGAACCGATGACATGTGTCAACCAAGTCAGCGAGTCTGACCACCCGATCCCGTTAGTCGCCTCTTAAGACAAGACTAGTATGGATTACTGAAGATTCTAACCCGTATCTACACGGGGGTGCTCAGACGCAGATATGTTTTAAGGAGTTGTGAGGAATACGTTGTATGCTTACTGTGACTGCTGTCAGGTTCCACTGACACACAACTCCCACCCTGACCCCAACCCCATCCCCACCCCATAAATATTATCTCTTAACAGGTACATATTATCTTAACCGTTTTCATTTGGATCCTTCAGTGAAATGAATCTTTCAACTTCTCTCATACGACAATTAGTTGTATTTAGATTTTACGACACGCCTATTGAAGATCCCATCATGTGAACTCTGCGTTAAACTTTCAAAAAATAAGTGAGACCTTGTTAATATGAGGTCTCAATTTTCTTGTCACCTCGATTGGAAATTTCGATCATAACCAAAGAACACACTCAACCCCAAAAGTACTAGAATCCGTACTTTACTAAGAAAGTGTAATCCCAAATATAACATATGTTACATTTGGCCACTTTCTAAATGGCATTGTGTATTCCAAAGTACACATCATTCTGCAGGTCAGACACGACACTTGCATAAGCTGGCCACAAGCCTGGCCGCCTTTGTGTTCATTCGGAAAAAGTCGTTATACTTCGTTTTCGAGATTCTGAAATCAGGTTTGCTCACTTGAGCAAGTTCTTGAAATGTAGTGAGATTTCGCTGTAGTGAGATGTTATTCAATTCAAGCAAAGTATTTTTTCCATAACAAGCTTCTGTCAAAATCAGAGTCATTGTTTCAGTGTGCAAGAATGATATCAGGTGAATCGTGCATCTTGTTCACTGACCTGCTTCTTTGTATTTATTTCAGGCTCTGCCAGTGTGACGTCAACAAAAGGTATAAATCAAATTACATCGAGTTACTCTGTACCATACATAAAGTGAGTGAGTGAGTTTAGTTTTAGCAATATTCCAGCAACATCACGTCGGGGGACACCAGAAATGGACATCACACATTGTATTCATGTTGTGAATCGAACCAGGGTTTTTGCTGTGACGAGCGAACGCTTTAACCACTAGGCTACTCCACCACCCCACCCATTTTGGGAAACGAACCAGGGTTTTCGTTGTGACGAGCAAACACTTGAACCACTAGGCTACCCCACCAACGCCCGTACATACCTCTTCATGTCCATAACACATTATAACATAACTAATAATCAATACACAAGCATGATCTCTTTTTATATTTGTTTATAATGCCATTTTTGTTTTGGAACTGACCGTAATATAAAATATGAAATTATTGTTTTCTTTTTCTAGTTTGTTTTTTTATTTTGTTTCAGTTCCTGAAGACGGCACACGATTTCCGGGTGAATGCAACGTCTTCGACATCTACTCCTGTGTCAACGTCTTCATTGATGACGTTCAGCATGCTGGAAATGATTCCGAGATAATATGTTCGTAAGTAACATAGAACGTTTGATATTTGTTAAGTCTTAGAAGTCGATTTCCTCAACCAGTCTTTTACCTGGGTACAATGTGTGAAGCCCATTTCTGGTGTCCCCCGCCGTGATATTGCTGGAATGTTGCTAAAAGCGGCGTAAAACTATATTCACTCACTCACTCATAAGTAGGTGGATCGGTGTTCTTGTTGTCAATCACTGTTTGTTCTGTATGAAGAGTGCGACTGAAGAGTAATGCACGTAAAACAGAACCAACCAATAACCAATAACCAACCAACCAACCAACATACCTACGTCCTTCATATTGAAAACTGAAGAAGTTCTTATTTATGTAAATTGCTTGTTATTGTTATTCATGTATGTCTATCTCTGATTTCATCATTATTTTGCTGCAGGGTTGCCCACCGGTTTGTGACGTGTCTCAACAGATTGACACCTTGCATTGACAACCCTGTCTTCACACAAGCCATACTGACTCTCGAACAGAGGAATCTGCGCAGTTCATGTAAGACCATTAGTTTGTTGTTTATCTTCTTGTTTAAATTCAGTGAGAAATGTCAAAATGTGTGAAAACATAGTTACATTCTAATGAGTGTTCGATTAGGTAGAAAGGTGAATCGCTCGTCATGCGGAAAACCCCGGGTCGACTGCCCACCTGGGAAAACGAGTGAAGCCCATTTTTAGTGTCCCCCGTTTTGATATTGCAAGAGTATTTCTAAATGCGGAGTAAAACCATACTCAATCTTAAAAGTAGAACGATTTCAGCATGTAGACTTCCTGAGTTTCACACCTTTGTTCATACAAACCCCAGGGGCGGTGGGGTAGCCTAATGGTTAAAGTGTTCGCTCGTCACGCCGAAGATCCGGGTTCGGGTCCCCACATGGGTAAAGTGTGTCCAACCCATTTTGGTGCCCCCTGCCTTGATAATGCAAGAATAAACCCAACACAGTCACTCACTCACTCATACAAGCCATTGGTTCGCCATCTCTCGTGAGAATGTAGGTCGTTGTGAATTAGAACCAGCTGACTGAGCGCGAATGAATATGGGTATCGCCGCTATCAGCCCGAGACTTAATAACAGACATTCGAGGCTCGTGAGTCTCCAACAAAGAAGGCAAAATTCTTTTCAATGTGTTTGTAAGGTGTTGGTTCGGTAAACTGGCATTCTGCCTACCAAGTAGAGCGTGACTTACAGGAAACAGTATGGGAAACAGTATGCAAAGTCATCATGACGTCACAGAGGACTTTTGTACCTCACGAAAATGACACTTGATCCACCAGCGGTATCCTGACACACTACAGCATCGTTGGCAGACGTGTAGGGACCTTGGAGGGGATTATGTGAGTGAGTGAGTTTAGTTTTACGAATCTTTGAGCAATACCCCAGCAATATCACGACAGGGGACACCAGAAATGGGCTTCACACATTGTGCCCATGTGGGGAATCGAACCCGGATTGTCGACGTGACGAGCGAACGCCTTAACCACTAGGAAGGGATTATGTTGAAAACGAACAGTGACATTTTAGCCACTCCTCGTATAACTGACTGACTAACTGACTGAGTTTGGTTTTACGCCGCTTTTAGCAATATTCCAGCAACATCACGGCGGGGGACACCAGAAATGGGCTTCACACATTGTGCCCATGTGGGGATTCGAACCCGGGTCTTCGGCGTGACGAGCCAACGCTTTGACCACTAGGCTACCCCACCGCCCCCACTCCTCGTATAAGCATGTAGTACTTAACATTATTAAAATATTCTTTGTGCTTGTCAGTCACTTTAAGAATCCTGGAAGGGACATTGTCGCGTTGTCGCATTGTCGCCTTCTCAAAAACAAGCAAAATGAGGCAAAATTAACCAAAGCGCGACAATGCGACAATGCGACATTTCGGCCATCTGTTTCAAGGTGAAAATATGTCGCGTTGTCGCGCATTTTTAGACTTTTTTTACACATCTTAGATGGGGCGACAATGCCGCAACGCGACATATTTTGATAAATTGTCGCTATGTCGCGTTGTCGCTCTTTGGAGGAATAGAAAATCATTATTCAAAATGCGACATGCGACATCGCGACAATGCGACAAATGGCCGAAATGTCGCGTTGTCGTATTGTCGCGCTTTGGTTTATTTTGCCTCATTTTGCTTGTGTTTGAGAGGTCGACAACGCGACAATGCCACAACGCGACAATGTCCATTCCAGGATTCCATAGTCACTTGACTGGAGTGCCACATATATTTTCATGACAGGTGTGTATTTTATTTCAAATATGCAATTAAGTGCTCTTGTCCTCAGGTTTATACGCGGTCAGCTTCGTGAAGTCAAGTTCTTCAAGTTCCCATGGCAACCTATATGCCAGTATTGCATCCAAGCTGCTCTTCATCGTCTGGATGTTGAAGTTCAACTAAAGACCGCAATAAAGGCGATAATGTACATTGTAAATCACAACATCCTCTGTCATTTCTACCGGCATGCAGCTTGATTACTGCTATGAGGGGATGCTAGGTAACAAGTGACTCTATTTAATTTTACGCCGCTTTTGGCAATATTCCCGCAATATCACGGAGGGGGACACCAGAAATGGGCTTGACACATTGGGGAATCGAACCTGGGTCTTTTGCGTAACGAACGAGGGCCTTCACCCCTGAGCTATCCAACCGCCCCTCGTTAGGTAACAAAAAAACCCTTACATTCTTCTGCAAAATCTGCAAGTGGCGAGTGCTGCAAGTATAGCGGTGGACAAGCTTGCCCTTGTGGCGAGCACTTGCTTTCATCTGGTACTTTCAGTGATCCGTAATTATGATTAATCACCCTTTTGTCTTCTCTCCTATTTGAATCTGTTTCGACTAATACTCTGACTATGGTGTTGACGTTTCCCATATATTTGCTACGGATATACTTTTAACAACATGCATACTCTGAGCGGGACTGTGACTAAGCGTCTTGTAACTATATATAAATAAATCAGAACCACGTAAAACTTGTGTCATTTTACCCATGAACGTACAGGACCCGTAAGTAACTCACGACACTTCGCGAGATATTAGTACTTCCGGTGACAAACAACGTTTCATACCTTTTCGAATGGTCTCATGGTTGTCAGCTGACAGTAAGGAACCGATAATCCTTGCAGGAATAATCTGTACCAATTCCAAATCTAACCATCCACAAATTATCTCCCGATTACGACTGTCAAAACAGTGACAGCCAAGCATGGGTTGTACACTTGGTGCGATCTAGTAAAGTCATATTTGGCGGACGCGCAATTCGGAACGAGAAGTTGTCACAGGAAACCTGCTACCGGAAGCCTTCATATTCTCCGGAAAGTTCTTGGTGGGTTCGACTAGGCAGCGTTTCCTGGGAGAAGTCCCATTCACTGTCTGGGCTGCGTGTAGAGGGGGCAAGGGCCCTGAGCTGATGATGAGCCTTACCAGCCTGACTGTGCCAGGATCACCCGAACCCTCTCTGCTGCATATTATCTTTAATCTGTAAAACATAATGAGGGTACTTATACCGCGCACTACTCCAAACCACACAGGGGCATGCTCAATACGAGACACAAACAACACAACATTATTACCCCGGATAACCCAAACTGCATGTTAGGCGCTAGAAGGTTATAGTCACATGACATATCGCACCGGGTACCCATTTTCTGTTGGGTAAACAGAGGCAGTTTTGAATAAACTCACTTGCCTAAGATGAGACCACATGCATCACATGCAATGCTCATAGTGTTAATCCCTGGGCTAGAATCGACTACTTACAGAGCGGAGTCACAGATGTTGAATATTGATGCGTGGGGCGTAAACTAATGACGTGTTCTGGCTACCAAACAAACAGGGGACGTACTAACGGTGAAACTTGACGGTAAAGCTTCCCCACTCACTATTTGAAATCTTCGCAGCCTGCGATTCGTTTATGAAATAATATTAAAACTATTGAATTACACAACTACAACTACCCGTGAAGGTCCAGGTTAGAATATTGATCTTCAGTAACCCATGCTTGTCGTAAAGGCGACTAACAGTATCGGATGGTCAGGCTCGCTGACTTGGTTGACACATGTCATCGGTTCCCAATTGCGTAGATCGATGCTCATGCTGTTGATCACTGGATTGTCTGGTTCAGACTCGATTATTTACAGACCGCCGCCATAAAACTGGAATATTGCTGAGTGAAGGGTAAAACTAAACTCACTCACTCACTCACAACTACAACAATGCAGGCAATGGTGAAACTCACACGTATACCCCCACCAGCCCTCCCCGGACCGAACCAGGGTCTTCGGCGTGATTAGCGAACGCTTTATCCATTGGTCTACCTCCACCAACAATCACAAAGAACTGGAACCCATTCCTAATGGTAGATGGTGGAAAAAAACAACTCTAAACAGGATGTGATGAAACTGAATTTATTTTCTTTTAAAAAATATATCTTTCCGTCAAAACAAAATAGAGGATAAGGATAAAAATGTGAAATTAAAAAATAACTAACGTCAGGAAATCACAGACAAAATGGATGAAAACGCCACATAAATCATTTTAATTCGTAAACAGTAAACATGTTTTATCTAAGCGATTTAAATTAGTCAGTGTCAGTATAAGCCCATAAAATTCGGTTGAGTTAAATGATGTCCATTTCAGGGAACCAATGTTCGAGTTCACGAGGTTTCGATGCTGTGTGTGTTTGGCTACTTTATCAACGTGAAAGGATCGAGGTGTTGACAGATGACTACTGTATGTTTCACAAAATAGAACGAAAGAAAGAAGCTTAATATGTAAAGTGTGCACACTAACATATGCTAATGCTATGAGACAATGTATATAATCTGATTATTGGTCACATCGGAATCATATTTGTGTCCGTCTCAATCGTATTTAAGTCGGACATTAGCTTTGACAAAAAACTGAAATTGACAATGTTATAAATCGTAACATTGATTCCAAACAATTATAAAACAGACCTTGTTTGCTTGTTTTCCGGTTAGCATTATGGTCGAGGTATACAGTCAGACCTCGTTTATCCGAAGTTCAGATATCCGAATACCTCGGTTTCCGAACATTCTTCACAAAAAACGAAATTTTCTAGTTACAATTTACCTCGTATATCCGAATGTTCGGTTTCCGTATCCGAACGGTCAATTTTGGTAACAAAACAGCAAAAAATGTACAAATTTGCCTCGTATATCCGAACACCAAGGCTGTCGTAGGCAAGATGTCTGATGTTTACCGCTCCTCAACAGTGCTCACTGCATTGACCTTTGATCAATCCTATATCAAAACCCAAGGTCTGTTGTCGGCGAGGTATCAAAACACGATGTCTATCGCTTGTCAAAACATTGTGCTGGCTGCTAGTTAATTCATTGTTTATTGAATATTTATCACAAGGCGTGTAGGTTAATTAGAGACTGACTGACTGACTGAGTTTGGTTTTACGCCGCTTTTAGCAATATTCCAGCAACATCACGGCGGGGAGGTTAATTAGAGAAGAAACAATTAAAGTATACGAGTGGCAGAAATAACGATCGGATTGTATACATGATTTGAACAGGATCCGCTCCTAGATTTGATGGAGCTGGAGGACTTATCGTCCAGTATGTCAATACTTAGATCCAAAACAGGGCCATCAAAGCGAATGTAAGTGACGCCATCACAGACAGAGTACTGGTGCTGGCTGATGATGCGTGGTCTTGGAACACATGTGGACCTGAAAACACAATGTGACTCGTCAGCTCGGTAGATTGATTCCGACGTCAACAATCTCTTTACTTTTGTTTGTTTAACGCATTCAGCAATATTCCAGTCCTCAGGGTAGCCTAGTGGTTAAAGCGTTCGCTCGTCACGCCGAAGACCCGGGTTCGATTCAACACATGGGTACAATGATTGTGTGAAACCCATTTCTGGTGTCCCCCGCCGAGTTGCTGGAATATTGCTAAAAAGCTGCGTAAAACTAAACTCACTCACTCCTGTTCTCAGGTCGAGGCACAGTTGGCTCAAAGCGGGACCGACATAAAGAAACCGTGTAAGGAAATATACACGTATTATATTTATGACGTCATGATGCTAATCGATGACGTCATGGAACAATGTGTGTCTTAGCCCAGATGCTGATTAATTGATTGTTGTTAAATGCCGAACTCAGCAATATTCCAGCTAACAGTGGTCTGTTATAATCGAATCTGGACCAGACAATCCAATGATCGACATCATGAGCATAACTCTGCACAATTGAGATACTATGACATGTGTCAAACGAGTCAGCAAAACTGGCCACTCTGACCACCCGTAAGTCGACTCTTACGACAAGCATGGGTTGATGAAGACCAATTCAAACCGGATCTTCACGGGACGGTGATATATCATTATGGTGTCATCCGGTTTGTGAAGAGGTCATAACGGTGTTGAGCATGCTGTGTATAATTCGTCACCAAAATACCTCCTTAAGGATTCCGTGACAAATAGGTCCCGACTAACCCATACACTTCATACCTGACCACTCTTGTTCTCAGAATATATCAGCTGATGGCGTCATCGTGCCCGAATTCGTGGACACATTCTGCCAACAGTCAGCGTATGGGCGGCTGCGTTCAAGCCACTGTGATATAGCTTACGTTCCTAACTTTGTGTATTATGGGCTTCACGAATTGGTATAAATGACTGTGAGTGGTATCTTACATTGTTGCTCATATCCCATTGCTTTAAAGTTATTTCTGGCATTGGTAAACTCGGTGTTCCCTGTGCACGCCGTCAGTTTGTTCAGACACTTCACGAAGTTAGCAGCAGCGCTGAAAAAGGCAAATATTGTTTGAGAGAGTACATCATCATCATCATCATCATCATCATCATCATCACCACCACCACCACCACCACCACCACCACCACCACCACCATCATCATCATCATCATCATCATCATCATCACCACCACCACCACCACCATCATCATCATCATCATCATCATCATCATCATCATCATCATCCTTAGCTTACCCTTTTTGGCGTAACGCACTGGACATCTTACGTATATTTCCTCCCTCCTCTCTCTCTCTCTCTGTCTCTCTCTCACCGTCTCTCTCTCTCTGTCTTGTGTGTGTATACATACTTTCATTGATTACACCCGCTCAAACTCATAGATATAAGAATATTTACCGGGGACACTTACTCACAACCCATTCCACGCCCGTGTTCCATCTGAAGATTGCTGCTGCACATGTTGATTTCGTACACGTTGCATCCCCAGCTGGGTCGTGTGGTCCACGCTGCAATCCGGAATAGCTGTTACTGCATTTACAGTTATTACAAATATCATACTGGCTAACAAATGTTCAATATCTGATTAGAATCAGCGGATCTTCCCAAGACCAAGGCAAGCAACTCTGTGAGTCGTGCCTCCTCCCTGAGTATGTGAGTGAGTTTAGTTTTACGCCACACTCAGCAGATAGTCCAGATATATGGCGGCGGTCTGTAAATAATCGAGTCTGGACCAGACAATCCAGTGATCAACAGCAGGAGCATCGATCTACGCAATTGGGAACCGATGACATGTGTCAACCAAGTCACCAAATCCCGTCAATCGCCTCTTACGACAAGCATGGGTTACTGAAGATCAATTCTAACCCGGATCTTCACGGGTCACAGAGCAAATGAAGTTACTGCATACTACATTACACCGATCTACAATCATCGGTCACAAGTAATGATGTCATTATATGCATTCAAAACCAAGGGCATCTTTGAGACACATGAATAGTGTTTTCAATTTTTTTTGTAATTAATGTCTACTTTCTGAGTCCCTGTTAAGACAAAACCAAACACGCCCGGTAGTCCTTGCCTCAAATCAGACGCAATAAGGTAAAGACAACTTTAGAAGACACAGGCAAGATCATTACCCGAGTAAAAAAACCCACTATTCCTGTGCAAACTAATTCTGTTCGTGAGGTTCATATTCAGATTCACTCCCTTTCTGCACTAAACAATGACACGTTTTCATAAAGCTACTTTAAAACATAAATCTAAGTAACCAAGAATTGTTGCACCTATTAAAGCAAGATCAATGAGCTTTCGGTATTAATTAGTTCATAGTATATCATCCACTTGGTTTAGAACCTAGATTGTTAACTTGTTGAATACGTTTAGGTCATTTTTGATCATGGTACTCTCATTAAAATACATAAAACACATTTTGGTAGCATCCAACAATACGACATAATTGAACACTTTGAAGTGTAATACACTTCCAGCTCCAAATGTATTAGTCCTGGTTATCGTGAATTTAGTCCTAGTTACAATTATTGTGAGTGAGTGAGTTTAGTTTTACGCCGCACTCATCAATATTCCAGCTAAATGGCGGCGGTCTGTAAGTAATCAAGTCTGGATCAGGCAATCCAGTGATAAACAGCATGAGTATCGATCTACACAATTGGGATACGATGACATGTGTCAACCAATTCAGCGAGCCTGACCATCCGATCCCGTTAGTCGCCTCTTACGACAAGCATGGGTTACTGAAGATCAATTATAACTCGGATCTTCACGGGCAGTTATAATCATAGCAGTAGATAGAATGTTTCTGATTACAATAATTCTGAGAAATACAATTAAGTACATACCAAGAGGTGTTGTCATACCACCCCAACGTCGTGTAGCTGCAAAATAACAGTTACAATTTGTAATGAACACAAATACAAATACACGAAGGACAAACCTTAAGGAACAAGGTTGTATATTTCATTGGTTGAAAAGGAAAGCTCAACAGACTAGACAGGACGAAGGAAGAATAGGAAAGTTAGATGAGGTAGATTGGTGGAATAGTGACGGAGAAGAATGTTAAAGGAAGTCAACACGAAGAGTGCGGGGAAAGAAAGTCAGAGGAGGTACGTGGAAAGGATAAGGAGAAAAAAGCTTGAGAAAAAAGATAAGAGGAATGAAGAATATAAAACAGGTGAAGAAGACAACAGTTTGAAGAGGTAGGTACGAAGAGCGAGGAGAATACAGTGAGAGGAAGTAGGCAGGAAGATTGAGCGAGACGAAAATAGAAGTACATGTATATAGAATGAATCAGCGAGAAGAAAACTATAGTGAGTGGCTGAGTTAAAATTTATAAGTACATCGGCAGTACTTCAGCCATATTGTGACGAGAAGAAACCTGTAGGAAGTAGAGAGGAAAGAGTTTGGAGAAAAAATAGACAGAAAAGAATGAGGACAAAGGGAAAGACAATGTAGATGGAAGAGTGAGAGAGAAGAACGTTGAGGGAGTAGACAGGAGAAGAAAGCTATATATTAAGGTGGGAAAAATCAGAGAAAGGAGAAGTAGACAGGATAAAGGGTAGAGTCGGCTAGAAAAAAGTAGAGGAAGTAGAAAGTGGAGAGGAAAAGCAAGCTAAAGAAAACCAAAAGAAGAATGTGAGTGAGTGAGTTTTGTTTTACGCCGCCTTTAGCAGTATTCCAGCTTCAATTCTTGTATTCGGTATAAAGGGCAACGGCCCATGTACAACATAATACAAAATAATCATTATAATGACAGATGGGAATTTCTGAGAAATAAAGCTTCCTTAATAAACTTTGCAATATTTAACAACATATTTATCTTATTACATGTTAAAAGAATTTTAAACTTAAACATCGTGGGTGAATTACAATAATATTTTGGTATATATTTTGATCTGAGATAGTCATACAATGGTCATTTTAGACGGATGTGATATTCATCTTCTACACAACCTAAAGCACAAAATGAACATATTCTATTACTGCGTGGAATGCCTCACCGTCTGCCAATATTAACCATTAAAGGGAGCTAACATATTCGTAATAAACACAAATGTCTTCTGTATTCTCTTTCTGGGATAGCATACAAATAATATTCAATTGACAAAAGAGACTTGTATTCTTTTTAATTACATAATTTACTTGAATCACAAATTTTAGAGTATCAATTTTGTTGATTGCAGTCTTTAAGTCTTTGTACAAAAGTATTGAGAAACATGTTTTTATCGCCCACTTCATGTGTGATCCACCCCAAAGCCATAACTATATAGTAAGTGTTTAACCTTTGATGCCCAAGTTATACGATTACATTCATCTAATGATTTACATAATATATAACATTGTTTTGGATATCTAACAGTTGGCATTGCTAACAATTTTAACCAACATGTAATACATCGTTTATGATAATCAATACACAGACCATGTCTACCGCTTTCACCCAAAGCAGCATCATTTGAGACATAATACCCAACACCTAAAGCATATTTACAAAACTTAATGTGAAAACGTTCAACATGTTCAATTTGAGAAAATCCCCATACCTCACTGGAATAAAGTAAAATTGGTTTTATCTGTGTATCAAAAATCTTAAGGAAAACAGTGGGACAAATATTCTTTACCTTATACTGAGAGGTGTAGGCTTTCTGAACAAGAACACTGATTGCTTTAGACCAACATAATCTTTTCGGAAATACAAGTCCAAGGTAATTATAATACGTTGATATCTTAACCTGATCACTTCCAAACATCCATTTTTCTGTTCCCCTTAGCTTACCACCGTTTCTAAACACTAATATCTCTATTCCAGCAGGACACCAGAAATCAGCTTTACACATTGTACCCATGTGGGGAATTGAACCCAGGTCTTCGGGTGACGAGCGAACGCTTTAACCACTAGGCTATTCCTACGCCTCGACCAAAAAAAGAAAGGCAGAACATGTAAAGTGAAAAGTCGATGTGTATTGAGTGAGGAAGAAACAATTTGAATTAAACCAATTCTTAATGCGTTTGACACTAACTGTCAATTAGAAGATATAAAAGCGAGAAATAAACATTGACTTACTTAGCCCTGAAGCCGGAGGGGCTGAAACAAAAATACATACATGAAATAATACAACAGAGGCAATTTCCAAAGTCATTGCTTTCTATTTATCGTGGGATTTTTTTCAAAATGTAAAACGTTAGTCCTGAAGGAAAACCAGCCTTGACTATCCTCATAAACAGAGTTTCATCAAATTGGTTTTAATATTTACATTCTCTTTCTTGCATACCTCCTAACTATGGAATTACATATGCATCATAATGAGGATATTTGTTTGAGGCAGCGTTCAGAAAATATTTCAGTTTTATGACGGTTGTCCTTCCTGGAAGTGGAATTGTTGTTAAACTGAACTAGAGTACATACCCCAGGTTGTGGGCATAGGTGGCACTGCAAAATAGCAAAACAGATAGGACGTTTTATTAAACACAATACATGAGAGATGTGAGAAGAATAAGCTATGACAGGGAGAGAGAGAGAAAGGCGGAGGGAGAGAGAGGATGGGGAAAGGGTGAGAGAGAGAGAGAGAGGATGGAAGAGTGAGAGAGGGGGAGAGAGGAAATGAAAATGAGGGAGAGAGAGAGAGAGAGAGAGAGAGAGAGAGAGAGAGAGAGAGAGAGAGAGAGAGAGAGAGAGAGAGAGAAAGGGTGGGCGAGTGAGCGGGGAGTGAGGAAAGAAGAGTTAGAGGGGAGAAAGAGAAAGAGAGGGAGGGAGGGAGAGAATGAGGGGGGGGAGGTGAGTTTAATAACATGAGAATACTCATAAAAATGTGAGTTTGGAGGATGACAGTTAATAATTGTGGAAACGAGAGTATAGTAGAAATTAAGAGGAAGAAAAATATTGAAAAGCGAATGATTTCAGTTCTAAATTCTCTTTCCTTCTTATCTTATAACTAGCAGGTGACCGAAAAAACAACTGCTGCTTTCGTATAGCCTCATATATGAATCCAGTGTGTGAGTATGATCGTGTAGCATAACTCTTTCTCAGAAGTGAAATTTCTTCTGCTGAAACCCACAACCATCTGACATTCAACACATGTACGTAATCGAACCCTGCGATTGAATATCGAACACGACGACAAAACCTGATACCACTGATAGGAAGGCAGAAAAATGATGGAGCGTCATTGATTTATCGTTTAACGCCGCATATATCTGTATATAATCGAGTCAGGACCAGACAATCCAGTCACCAGCATCACCAGCATCGATCAATGCAATTGGGATACGATGACATGTGTCAACCAAGACAGCGATCCTGACCACCCGGTCCCGATGGTCGCCTCTTACGACAAGCATGGGTTGCTGAAGACCGATTCCAACCCAGGTCTTCACGGGTAGTGGAGAGTGAAAGTAGATGATAAAAGAAAAGAGAGTAGAAGTGAAAATGAAAAGGGACAGAGGCAAAAGGAATTTAATCAACAGGTAATTGAACAAAAACACTAAGAAAAGTAGAAGATGGCACGACATAACGGCGACCTTAATGTCAGAATTTTCAAATATATTAAACTTGGTGTAAACTGAACACAACCATTGTCCGTTCACATGGGTTTGTATGTGCCTGATCATGAGCATGGACGACAATGCCAGTCCTTATGAAATTGTGTGCGTAAATATCAATTTAAGAATACCAATGTAATGGGAAATTACTTTCTAAATTGAAATATCATTTCCATATGACGTTGATACCCTATATAGCTGTCTCTCATAAATCTGATAATGTGGATAAATCATCCGCCAAATATAAAACGTTTTACCACTAAGTTTACTTTCGATTCCGTTTTCTGCTTTCTTACTACTTAATGCTAGGAATTACACTTTGTTTCCGGCGGCCACGGTAGCCCCGTTTCGCCGAAACGTAGTGAAACGGGAACAAAACGGGATGGATGTGAGACATCGTGGAGGGACTGAATGAGCAAACGTGACAGTCAGTGATTGCCGTGGATGCCGTGCCAGATTTTAAAACTGTTCAAACATTTGCCACGGCAGTCACGGTACTAATGAGAAACCTAGTAGGCCGTAGTAAAACAGGGGGGAACGCAACAAAACGTGACAGCGCGTAATAGGCCGTAACAAAACTTGTAGTGGGTCCGTAGTGGGTCCTTATTGGGATTGGAGGCATTCCCTGGCAACTCACGCACCTTTCAAGTTTTGTCACGTCCGGCCAGGTTTTTTTTGCGTTTTGTCACGGTGTTTTCACCGTTTCTGCCCGTTTTGTCCCTGTTCTCACGGCAAGCTAGGTTGTATGGTAGCCGATTCGTCCCGTTCTATCACGACGCATCCAGGCGTGTGACCGTTTACAGGGCTGGCGAGATACGGCACGTTGTGTCCTCTGGCATTCCCTCTCTCCACCTGATGCTGTCCTTCTTGCTGTCGCAAGGACTCGATGTATGCCCCCAGCAAACATACAAACACAAAATCTTGGGGTTCATGCTGCTCTTGTGTCTCAGGATACAATGGCTGCTATTGCTTGGGAAGCCTTATGTTCATACCGTGGGCATAAAGGTGCTTCAAAATTAAAGGCTGGCCGGCGTCCACGTTTCATCCGTATAAAGTCTTGACAGAACACGCAAAACGTGTCACAATCTTGATCAAAACGTGATAAACGTGACGGAACCCGTCAGAACGCGACAGGCCGGAAAGGAACGCAATGGCATCCATAGTGAACTACAGCCCGAACTGTAGTGCGCCTTTGAACTTCCGGTATTGAGCAGCCCGTTTTCCCAACGGCTCATCACGGATACCGTGATAGACCGTGAGAAAACTTAGCAGGACCGAACAAAAGTTAACTTTGGAGGAAAAAATTGCCAAAATGCCACGGCTCACCACGTTTTACGGAAACTATTGTGGCCGCCGGGAACATAGTGTAACCCCAGCATAAGACATGTTCTATATTTCCTGCTCGGACGCATTATGTTGTGTGTCCAATGTTTCAATGGTGGATCAGCGTGACTGTGTACTTACTCCTAGTGGTTAATCCAGCCCCACCTGAAAACAAGAACAAATGAATGAAAATATATTGAAAGTTTACAACCCTTCAGACGATGAATTATAATGAAAACACAAACAAGAAACAAACCATCAGGTTATATGAACATGTTCAGCTTCGGGCCAGAGAGACATGCTATGACTAAGGTTATTATATAGTGAGGCTATTGTCCAGGGTGCCGTTGTACAATGCAACCTTAGCGCTACGCCAGTCGTACGTCTGTGTTAAGGTATGGGAGTAAAGGTCACCTTAGCGCTAAGATCGCTTTGTACAAAGGCACCATGGGCATTTTCATATTTTAGAAGCCCGAAGTTTGTCGTTAAGCTGACTTTTTGGCAGACCGAATAATAGTTCTAATGATAATGAAATCTCAATAAGCCTTACCGCCACCAAAGAATAAATGGACACAATTAGAATTTGTCTTCAAAATACAACTAAACCCCAAAACAAACTATCAAGAAGAAACAACCTTCACAAATGTCAATATGACACTGTCTTAAATATGTCTTTAACATTTGATTACGTCACTATCAGTCACTGGACGCCATTTGACCTTGTAACAGATATTATATTTGTGCTACATTTGACCTCTCTCTGAATGGCATTGTGGTATTCATACATTTGACCTTGGCCTTTGATTTCACAGCATGGGAAGAAGCTAAGACTGGGAGCTGTTCGAACTTTCGAGATTTCCCAATACTGACATAATAAAATATGGTACACTAATAAATACTGGATTTGGATGGAAATATGGCGTTTGCCTAGGGTAAAGAATTCTCCTTGCGTCTAAACATTCTAGGTGCTTCGCTTGCTTCTAAAATATCAACTAAGGAAGTGTGGCAACAACATTCCCTTTATATTACTAAGTATCTTCGTTATCACCCGTATTGCGTGTAGATTCGGATGGGTGCCACACAAATCAGAAATCAAGGTTTCATGTTGTCAAGAGTTAGATGATCATCTACCCACACAAAGCCGGTAGTATGTGGTAGATGCCGACGATGGGTTTATTTTTACTCCGCCTTTAGCACTATTCCAACAATATCACGGCGGGGGACACCAGAAATGGGCTTCGCACATTGTAATAATGTAGGGAATCGAACCGGTTCTGCGATGTGACAAGCGAACGCTTTAACCACTAGGCTACCCGCCACCCCGATATACCGAAGAGGGGGATACCGAATCCCTGTGTGTATTCTGCCGCAGGAACCTCTAGTATCTCAACGTTTTACTTACACCGAGCGTTAAAGTCCACGTTACTTCCCAGGATCTGTTTCGTCAAGTCAGCAACAATTGAAGCCCCATCACAGCCAGCCACACCGTAGACGCACTGTATGTATTCCCGGTAGAACCTAAAGTGTAAAAGCTGAGCGTAAGCTCCTCAAATTGAAACAAACATCGCCAACACAAAACGCATTAAATAGTGAACACTATATCAAACTTGTGATATTAAAACACACATCGGCCAAGTAAACAAATAACTCAAATGATTTACTATTTTCCCCAAAAATTAAACTCTCTTCATTAATTTACACTTCACTTTTATATATGACGTTCTACATACATTGTCGAAGGTATAAACATCAATTTCCACTTCATGTTAAGATGCTGTATATACACCGTTCTCCATATATTGTCGAAAGTATAAATATTAATGAATATTGATACAGGTATATATGCCATAATAGAGATATTATACCTAATTATATTAATTGTATGTATCAATGACATGGTCTATACATATCCTTAACTCAATAAATATCAGCTGATATTACGCATATTGTCTATTTTCAATTTCTGATATTAAAACACACACCAGTAATACAAAACACACACCACAAATGATTCACTATTGTAAACTTCTGATATTAAAACACACATCAGTAATGCAAAACACACACCACAAATGATTCAGTAATATAAACATCTCGTATTGAAATATAGTTCACAGGCCATGCTCTAATAAACATACAATGTATGACTCATATGCGGCCCCATTAATAAAGACAAAGAAAACAGCAACAAACATTCATTAAAAATTAATGAAATATGTTTTTCTAATTCATTTCATTTCATGTTTCAAATCATGCCCAATGTGAGCAATCTCCATGCACTGATAGTTGTACAAACATCTGAATGTTTGTACTAGGGCTGACTATCGGTATAGATGATAGAAATCGATATCGATCGATTACCGATAAATATCGGAGAAGTAACTTTGAGCACATATGCCTAAAACGTCTGAAAGAACTGAACAGATTTCACATCACTGCTGAGTGGTGGCATGTAGGCATAGGTTAAAATAGAATAATTCACTTGCATAGCGCCTAATTTCCAGACTAATCCCGCTCAACGGCGCTTTTGAGGAAAGCAGTGGGAAGGAGTTAATGGCTAAACAAAAATATTTTTAGAGACTTCTTGAAGGGTTGAACAGAGTCCACAGACTTGATGTCCATTGGGATGGAGTTCCAGAGTCGAGGGGCATATACAGAGAAGGCATTTTCAGCAAGTGGAGTAGACGTTGATGGGATGGAGAGTGGCTGCTTGGTTGAGGATCTGAGAGTTCTTGTGGGCTGGTACAGATTAAGAAGGTCTTTGAGAAACTGTGGTGAGGTGTCCACATTAAATGTGGAGTACATGAGAAGAAGACGTTTGAATGTGATACGATGCTTAACAGGAAGCCAGGCAGTGGAGTTGCCTTAGGATGGGTCAGATGTGTTCAATTACTAACCAATCAACGACCAGAACATAATTTATAATTTATAAGAAACCCATGAATAAAAATCTAACTTTGTGTATTGTGTGGGTAAAGTAAAACTTATTCAATGACAAAAGTGTATCAACAATATTATCGATGACTCTATATTTATATCGATAATCATTAATAATCTTGCCCATCGACGATAATTCCGATTATCAATTCTTTTAGCCAGCCCTAGTTTGTACATATGAACACAAAGATGAAAACAACCAAATTTCTTTGTTCGTACAGTACACGCACACATGAAAGGATTTCACGTCACTGTTGTGTCAAGCAGTGACCTAGTTCTCCTAAATGGATACAACAAGACACGTTGGCATAGTTACAGTGTGCAGTCAGCTATCACAGTGTACACCCATCTCTGTGTCTGGATCAGGCTGTTACCTATAACGCATGTGTATACAACCCATTCAGAGCTGAATACGAATAGGGACAGAATACCCACAAAGCCCTGTTCCTATATACTGGATACTCCTTTCAACGAAATGTGTATCAAGTTGCGCTGTACCTCAGCAAGTAATACCCTCTCCGTGAAGGGGTTATACAATTACATGAATGCAATCATCTGTAACAACAGACTCTGAGCTCTCTGTGTGTGATGTTATATGTTGCACGCAATAAGTTTATAGTCATAATTCATATGGGTTAAAATGAGTTATTGCAAACCCATTGAGACTATCAATCTTATGTGTACCTTTCATTTGAGAAACATCTTGAAACCTGACTATAAAGCACTGCATATTCGCTTGTCCAACTTTGCAGCGGTCTCAGTAATAAGTATTAGCATGACAGCGTGTGTCAACATTGCATTACGTTAAAGACGTATTCCAATGAATAACATTCAGTTCAAATGAGTTATGTATCTGCAAACAAACGAACGCTCGTCCTTTGCCGTGTATATCATCTATGCCTATATGAAACCCACACAAAATAAAGGCATTTCTAAGTTTTCAATGAAGACTATTAACTAAACTGACGTATAAAGAAATCACACGCCTTAAGCATTTGGGATAATTTTCTGTTTTCCTCAGTCGACTGTATAAAACACAGTGTTGTAAGCATGCCTGTTTTTCATGATTTCCACTCACATCACTGTAACGGATGCATGTGCTGTTTTGGCAACTTGTACACGATGTTTGTGACTGTTGAAACGCTTTTAAAACAAACCACTTAACATTGCATAAACAAATTCAAATGTGGAGAAAGCGAGGTTAAACCCATGAATCGTACTTTCAAATCCAGATTTGAAGGATACGTCAAAACACGTTGTTTATGCAATGTTAAGTGGTTTGTTTGAAAAGCGTTTCAACAATCACAACATTCGTGTACAAGTTGCCAAAACGGTTTAACCTCACTTTCCCCACATTTGAATGTTTGGATAAGGGATTAGGAGGTCACTGGACTGTGGATGTGAGACTATGGTCTGTTCTAATTAGTGCACACTTCTCACTATCAGTAAAAAGGGAGCTAAGGCCAATTGGTGAATTCTTTTATGTGCATACATCTATAAATAAGGCTAATCATCAGATCAGAAGATTTTAATATATTCCTTTTCATTGTTTCAGCTTTCAACAACCGCGAAGGACATGATATGGCGGCAACCGTCCCCACATTCTACAGCTTACAAGCCAGTCTGTATCGGTCCCGTGCCAAGAACGTCCCACCTCTTCCGCTACAGACTATACCTTAACCCACCCCTTTGCTAACTAATTGGTCATGGCCTGGTGGACCCAGACTCTAAACAATAGATGTGGGGAATGTGAGGTGTCCCCGATTCATGACAGGCACAAGACTCGAATTACCAGTGACAACTAAATATACAAAGGATTTCTTCATAAGTCAAACTGAGAAAGGAAGATTTTAATATGGATTATGAAAGCGTATCAACGATGGTTGGACCATTGTCAATATCTCTCAACTCGCTATGCCTTAACCAACATGTTATCTCAACTGACAATGACTTGACCAATATGTTATCCCAACTGACAATGACTTGACCAATATGTTATCTCAACTGACCATGCCTTGCCCAATATGCTATCTCAACTGATATGATGAATTTAACTCCTGACTATATGAAATGTTATCTCAACTGAATATGACTATGATCAATATGATAACTCTACTGACTATTACTTGACCAATATGTTATCTCAACTGACAGTGACTTGACCAATATGTTATCTCAATTGACAATGATTTGACCAATATGTTATCTCAACTGACAATGACTTGACCAATATGTTATCTCAACTGACAATGATTTGACCAATATGTTATCTCAACTGACAATGACTTGACCAATATGTTATCCCAACTGACAATGACTTGACCAATATGCTATCTCAACTGAATATGACTAGATCAATATGATAACTCAACTGACTATTACTTGACCGATCTCAACTGACAATGACTTGACCAATATGTTATCTCAACTGACAGTGACTTGACCAATATGTTATCTCAACTAACAATGACTTGACCAATATGTTATCTCAACTGACCATGCCTTGACCAATATGTTACCTGAGCTAAATATGACTTGACCGATATATTGTATTATTACTCATTAGTGTAAAACGCCTCCAACATTGCTAGACATTCCAGCGTTTTCTTAAACGTCCAAAGGGTATTTGAAGTATTCGAGTTGGAAAGAAGACACCGTACTACATTTCCGGGATATCAAAACCGTTTCTGAATTTCCGTGACATTACCGGCAGACCAGGGTGTTGTTAGATAGGTTCGGGAAGACCGTCTGAGTCAGTCTGTTGGTGCATGCAGTGATGCTGTTATAGTCACATTGCTGCTGCCCATCACAGCGGGGCACTGAAACTAGAAACAGAAAACAACGTTAATGGTATAATCTACAGTGATCGGACGTTACTGTGCTTAACATGTGTGTTAATGTCATATCTGTACAGTCATTTCACGAATATATATTATCTACCTATCGGACCTTTTGTAATGTTTCACATTTCTGTCTATGCCATCAATATACCCGAGTATCTCGATCTCAGTGGGGTTTAGCTTCGAGATATCTTAGATACTGCGAGATAAGTGGAAGTATTTTCACATGAATGAAAGTATCGCAACACATCTGATTTTAATCCCCATGTAGCCGCGTATATTCATATCATAATTATATTTGTTTGTGTGACTATTTTGACCCTTCGGGCGCACCATACATATATATTTAGATATGCACGTGCAAAATCAAATGCGAGCATCACGTGCAATACGTGTAGCAGTGATTAAGTAGATATGACGCTTCAGTAAACTGGTCTTATAGGTCGATGACTTAGAAAGTCAGTTGATTTTGTGGTTGATGAAACCGCGAAGATACGGGTTAGAATTGATCTTCAGTAACCCAGGCTTGTCGTAAAAGGATACTAACGGGATCGGGTGGTCAGGCTCGCTGACTTGGTTGACACATGCCATCGAATCCCAAATGCGTGGATCGATGTTCATGTTGTTGATCACAGGATTGTCTAGTCCGCGCTCGATTATTTACACATAGCAGCAATATTGCTGAGTGCAGCGTAAAACTAAAAGTCACTCACTCGTGGTTGATGAACAAAAGGGCCTTTTCAACCGCCAACCGCTCAAAGATGGCAAGTTATTGTTAAACGGTATTGAGGGTTACTACAAGAGATGGTGGTTGTCATTCATCTACCATAACCCCATTGACCAGAAAACAACAACAAAATAATAACGTTACGACAATGATGAGTTGCTGAAGATAATTCTAACCCGGATAACCAGGGACAAAAGTGTATGTACCGCGGGCTATGTTGTAATCTTAATCCATCAATGCGAACCTACCCTGGTAGGGTTGGGCAATAAAAAGAACTACGCAGTTGTCATCGCAGACGTTTGAACGTGTGTTCCGATTACGGTGTTCACTGAATATTCATATTGTTTACACAATTATTACGTGGACAGCGCTGATTGTGCGAGGAAGGGTTCTAGAAATATCTAGGAGTAAACTGCGTTTTTGCTTTTCTCGAAACTTGAGACCTCGAGCAATGTTTGAGAACGAGTTAGGTGCTTTTAGCTCGAATTCGAGATGGCCGATAACAGTTGTATAGATTCGAGATATAGGAACATTAGAGGATCTGGAGATGATGGATCCGATCGTAGTACAAATTAGCTAAATCTTCATCAAAATAGAAGAAATTGGAATGAAACACGTCGGGAAGCTACGAAAGTAGCAACATCGTCAAGATAGAAGATACAATTTATCAATAAGAAGAAGAGAACACGAGAAAGTCTGCAGCATTGTGAATTTATAGACTAAATTTATATCACAGCTGTATATATAGTTTTATAATATCATATATATAGTTTTATATGTATCGTTTATAAATACATGCACTTATGTGCTTAGACCGACACTGGATATGAAGGAATTATTTGAGAAGTAGTTAAATATCTCCTCAGTGCTATTGACTATGGAGGATGGGTCTATTTATCCAACGAATTCCAGAATGATATCAAATCTTCTCACAACCCTTAACCCCGTCAGTTGATTTTTTCATGTTTCTTCCCAATCAGCTGTAGATGTATTTTAATAACATACCACGCACATTCATAAAACAAATGATATCATTCTAATCAACATGATTCAAAATCTTACCTGCGAGAAAGACGACGATGGCAATTGCTCCCTTCATGGTGTCTGTATACGACTGTTACGCTTATCCGTGTCTTTACCTGACTGGGGACAACCACACCTGAGTGAACAAGTAGTGCCAGCAGTGGCTATTTATATCTACCTCACGAAAACATAACGAAGGGTCTTTCAATGCAGGCAGCTTGCCTCACCAGTCAGACTGGTGTGCTCTAACACATCCTTTGTCAACATTACAAGAAGTTCACGGTACCAGCGGGCCCAGTTTTCGTACGCCCTAATTACACATGTAAGTTTAAAGAGGTGTAGCTTTTGCTGAAGGTGTGAGGATTCTCTTTTTCTAAGTTAGTGAACAAATGTCCATAGATATTCCGTCATGCAGAATGAGAATTAGGTGTTACAATAGTCTTTTTCGTGAGACTTGAAAATAATGGGTGTTAAACATATTTAATATGTATATATTGAGTATGATGGTGTATGTGAAGGGGAAATGTGCCCTTGTGACATTTTTGTAGATAATGGGTGTTAAACATGATCACTCTGCATATATTGAGCATGATAGTGTATGTGAACACAAAATTTGCCCTCCTTCATTCGTTTTAACATAATGGGTGTTAAACATAATCACTCTGCATATATTGTGTATGGTGGTGTATTAAAGGGGAAATGTATCATACTTCATTTGTTTTAGGATAATGGGTGTTAAACATAATCACTCTGCATATATTGTGTATGATGGTGTATATGAATGGGGGAAATGTACGTATATGAATGGGGAAATGTACCATACTTCATTTGTTTTAACATAATGGGTGTTAAACATAATCACTCTGCATATATTGAGTATGGTGCGTGTATATGAGGGGAAATGTACCATACTTCATTTGTTTTAACATAATGGGTGTTAAACATAATCACTCTGCATATATTGAGTATGGTGGCGTATATGAAGGGGAAATGTACCATACTTCATTTGTTTTAACATAATGGGTGTTAAACATAATCACTCTGCATATATTGAGTATGGTGACGTATTGGGTGAACTCTGCATATATTGAGTATGGGAAATGTACCATACTTCATTTGTTTTAACATAATGGGCGTTAAACATAATCACTCTGCATATATTGAGTATGGTGGCGTATATGAAGGGGAAATGTACCATACTTCATTTGTTTTAACATAATGGGTGTTAAACATAATCACTCTGCATATATTGAGTATGGTGACGTATTAGAAGGGGAAATGTACCACACTTCATTTGTTTTAACGCAATGGGCGTTAAAAATAATCATTCTGCATATATTGAGTATGGTGGCGTATATGAAGGGGAAATGTACCATACTTCATTTGTTTTAACATAATGGGTGTTAAACATAATCACTCTGCATATATTGAGTATGGTGACGTACTTCATAGAATGGGGAAATGTACCACACTTCATTTGTTTTAACATAATGGGCGTTAAACATAATCACTCTGCATATATTGAGTATGGTGGCGTATATGAAGGGGAAATGTACCATACTTCATTTGTTTTAACATAATGGGTGTTAAACATAATCACTCTGCATATATTGAGTATGGTGGCGTATATGAATGGGGAAATGTACCATACTTCATTTGTTTTAACATAATGGGTGTTAAACATAATCACTCTATATATATTGAGTATGGTGGTGTATGTGAATGGGGAAATGTACCATACTTCATTTGTTTTAACATAATGGGTGTTAAACATAATCACTCTGCATATATTGAGTATGGTGGCGTATATGAAGGGGAAATGTACCACACTTCATTTGTTTTAACATAATGGGTGTTAAACATAATCACTCTGCATATATTGAGTATGGTGGCGTATATGAAAGGGGAAATGTACCATACTTCATTTGTTTTAACATAATGGGTGTTAAACATAATCACTCTGCATATATTGAGTATGGTGGCGTATGTGAAGGGGAAATGTACCATACTTCATTTGTTTCAACATAATAGGTGTTAAACATAATCACTCTGCATATTATGAGTATGATGGCGTATGATGGCGAAATGTGTCCAATTTCATTTGTTTTAACATAATGGGTATTAAACATAATTACTGGGCATATTATGAGTATGATGGCGTATGTTAAAGTGAAGTGTCTAAGTACGTGACTGTGTTCACTGCCTATATTCACCATATCCTAGGCAGGGTATTCAAATGTACATACAGGTCACCGTCAAGAGGAAGATTGGGATGTGCAAGGCGTTGTCCCAATCGGCTCGCACACAAGGAGTGGCTGTTTGTTTGTGGTACAGCCTTTGAATAATGAAGTTTGTTAACGAGAATTCCTTGTTCAATTCATACTTGTTTGGAGAATCGCCTGGCCATCCGTTTAAAACGACCAGAATTAATAGAGGGTTAGACTGTATGAATTACAATGAAACACGTTTTTCCTTTGTGTTTCCTTTTAAAACCATTCAGTTGAGAACTATTTGTGTGCGTAAGAGTCTTAATGCTCCACTCTCAGTTCTTTAAGAAAACATTGTTTTGAAAACGATATACATATGCATACAGTTTATGTATGTGTACTCAACAAATTTAGAAACTTGACAGCGATATTACTGGCAACAATTGGGAGGGGAAGGGAGTGGGGGTGGTGGTAATTATTTCTAGTTTCTGGTTGTTGTATACATAGAGCACTGATATGACAAATGAAAATGCTCTCTGAGACCGACGTGAAACATATGGTCTTAAAGTGTGCTGAAAGGCCACAACATAACAATCAGAGTTACCTTAGCGATTGCACATGCATCGGATTGCAAGCAGAGATGCGTTGCAGGTAAACACACCAAAACGTTGAATTAGAAAGCGCGTATGCCGAGAATCACAACGTGAGCGTACCCTGGGTATTTTGGCTGGACAATCAGCTGCAGCAGTTGCACGAGCTTTGGGCTGTTGTGGTCAGACAATACAGATTCTGAGGACACCGTTGCAGGTCGCCCAAGGCCAAGGACGTCGCGTTTGACTTCACACCAAGACGTAGTAATTATCACAGTTATGTCATCACCTCAATAGGTTGTGATGGCAACATGCACAAACAGACAGTTGTAAAACCGAGTGACCGGCCTCAGACCCAATCAGGGACTGATCACTGTTGCCCAAGGCAAAGCGATAAGTACCGCGATTCTTTGCAAGATCTGCGAGATCCGTAGGCTCATTGAGAGTTTTTACCTTCATTTATATCATACATGGTTTAGGGACTCTGTGGGCACGCAGTTATGCCAGATTCAACCAGAGGCAGTGGAACGGGTTATTTTTTCTTCAGTGACTACCGTACGGTATTGGGACCAAGGTTTGACTCCAGCCCTTCTATTCAGCTACGTGTTCCTGGGCGGACATTGTAACATGCCAAACTACGACGCCTACCACAGTTCTGACGCTCTACTACGCCGGTGTTGATGCCATGGATTGGCCACCACGCCCACCGAATGAACTCATTTGGGGGGTTGTCTCCCAAACCTCTATATCCCATACCCCCTACAGCCCAGTACCCCTACAATTAGTTAAAACAACATTATTATTCAACTTTTGTTAAAATGTTTTTGTTATCATCCATTAAAACCATTCTCTCAAACTCTCAGTTTGGTTATTGCTCATTACAATCATTCTCTGAATTGCTAAGTGTTTGGGCTGGGCCATTGTATGAAATAGGCAACAGGCAGGAGATAGCAGTGCACTGGATCATGAACTTTGTTGTTGTTATAAGTTGTAGGGGTTATGGGATGTAGGGGTATTGTTTTTGATGTAAAACGCCTCGGTCTGCAATATGCACCACCATGGAGGCGGTATGTAAGTATTGATTTCGGACCAAACAAGTGATTGATATCATGAGCATCGATCTAGTCATTTGAGATACGATGCGTGGACAAAGTAAGCGAGCTCGGCCACCCGATCCGGTACGTCGCATAGTTTACTGAAGATCAATTCTAACCCGTATTTTCGTAGATGCACAGATACTGCCTAAATGGAATGCATACTGAGTGGGGGCGGTGGGGTAGCCTAGTGGTTAAAGCGTTCGCACGTCACGCCGAAGACCCGTGTTCGATTCCCCACATGGGCACAATGTGTGAAGCCCATTTCTGGTGTCCCCTGCCGTGATATTGCTGGAATATTGCTAAAAGCGCCGTAAAACTAAACTCACTCACTCACATACTGAGTGGGTGCGATTGTACAATCTCACTAACTTACAAATCATAGCTACAGGTGCCTAACACAACTAAATGGACGTATCACGTGACAAATGGTATACATTTGTATGTATATCTATATAACGATAATACAGCAACCCACTTGCTACGGGTAGCATAATAAACTTAAGCCAAGGCCGTTGCAGCCGAATAACGCTACACCCTTATCTGACAAAACGCATGTGTCATTGAAAGGTTTGGTATAATTTAATAGATCTAAATAGAAACGTATTGGAAATAGACCGAATACTTGCAGATAGAAAGGAGGTAGGTATACGGTTGGACACAAAACCACCTCACCTTTCTATTACGTTGCAGAGATGAATAAAAATATGTTCATGTTCTAAATACCTTTCAAGAACTCCTTTCAATAACGACACAAGACCCGTATATATTACATGCAGGAGCTATTTGAAATTATAAAGAACCTAGATCTTAGCTGCGTTACTAAATACATGAGTATTCATACGTACATATTTATGGTGAATTTAATTTTATGTTTATAACCGTCCCCCTCCCCTGCAAAGCGTGACTGTATTCATTTGGCGTGAAACTGATCATATGAGCGTGAACTGTTCACTGTTTATGTTCACATGAATACATACTTCATAGATTGTACACGGTGTACACATAAACACGTGAGGTCGTATATGACTTTAAATATAACTAGTCATGGGTATGTACTTTCCGTCTTTGATGTGTATTTGATAACACGGTCTTTCAAAGACTTACGTAGAGGTAATCATCAAGCGTCCGGTTCATTAACGGTTAAGGATATTGTGTAACAAGTACAATAATTGTGCAATAATTAACTAAGTTTTTTTACAAAATAGTTTCATCAAGACGTTTCCTTGATGTGTAGAGAAAGAGTATTTAAGTGGGAC